AATCAATAAAGACATATTTAAAAAAAAAGTCATAAGGAAAATACATTTACAGTACTGTATGTATTATTGGGGGAAAAATACACATATAAGTGGGCCCAAGCATTTCAAACTTGTGTTGTTCGAGGGTCAGCATATTTCATTCATCTGACCTGGATTTGAGACAGAGCACTTCTGCAAGAAGAAAGATTCAGACAGGCAACAGGGAACAAGAGCATCTAAATTCAGGTAACAAAGGTTTTTAGAAGCCAGAGCTTATTTCTACTTAAATAATACTCAAGAACCTGGCCGGGCATGGCTCAGCAGTTGAGCATCGACCTAGGATTCAGGATGAGTGGGGGTTCGATTCCCGGTCAGGGCACATGCCCGGGTTGCGGGCTAGGCAGCCGATCAATGACTCTCTCATCATTGATGTTTCTATCTCTCTCTCTCCCCCTCCTTTCCTCTCTCTGAAATCAACAAAGATATGTTTTTTTTAAAAATAATAATAATAAAATAAATAAATAATACTCAAGAAACTTTCAGAAGGTTAAAAGGCCCAAAGATATCTAGGCTTAATATAATATCATAGCCAGGTGCTGGCTGTTGCTGCCTGTTTTGGAATCCTCAGGACCACCCTGGGCAGTAATTCTTCTAGCCCACGAGCGCTGTGTTCCTCTGTGTTTTGGCATAACTCATACAAGGATATCCCTCCAGTAATAACGACAAAACTGCCAGACAAAACTGTCATTGTCATCGAGAGGAAGAGAGGTATGTAATCAGAGAAGAAAGCCACCACAGCAATTTCAAGAAGTAATATTAATCCAGCATAGAACAAACAGAAACGTTTGCAGAACCTACATGAAAACCCTTCTTGTGTTGTTCTTTGAAACCAGGTCCTCTGACCATGAGCTTGAGTAGCTGGGATGATGCCAGGTCTTATTTGTAGGATGAGGGGTAAGAAAATGTTAACATCAGATAAATCAGAGGTTGACCAGAAACCTGTCTCCCCTTTGTCCGGATGGTGTTTTCAGATCAAGTTTTAAATTATATTCACTGTGAGTTGCCAGGTGTCCTGATGGTGTAACAGAAAGGGCTACTCTCTGGACAGTCTGAGAGCTGACATCTGAAGAAGATGGCCGGAAAATCCAGGATGATGAGTCTATATTCTTAATTTCCTTTAACGATTTCTTCATGAAGCCATCTATCACAAACTTCTGGGTCATTTTCCAGAAGAGATCCCTACTGAACTGGTGCATCCCGTAGACTCGAGGTTTGCTGGAGGACATGTAGTGATTCAGGATTGCACGTTGCATTCTCCTGAACTATCAGCACTACTTGGTCGCATACTTAAGATTATTATCCTAATTCAGATAGAGATGAAATGGAACACAAAGCCAAAGCTACATTAATTCAGACACAGATATCATGGAACACATGCTAAAAGCGTCATGAATCTCAGACAAAGCATAACAAGCGAACTGTGAACTCCTCCAGCACAGGGTCCTGTTCCCCTCCTCTACCAGCGGGGGGACCTGGGTGCAAAGTTTGACATGCAAGAGGGAAGCAAGTTTCCAGGGTTTCCCACTGATGCCCTTGGCTTGCCTGAGTGAACTGAAGGAGGATTCTTGAATTCGCCAGACTTCAAAGGGGCCTCTCATGAAGGGCAGAGTTTAGGAGGCATTTCAACAGATGGGATGCCTGCTGTCTCAGGATCATGCAGGACCCATCTGCAGATGGGTGTGGTTTCTAATTGATGTGGTTAAGAGCCGAAACCTCAATGGACTCAAGGGAGTCACTCCTCCCCTATATTATTATTATTTACCTCTTATTTTTTTCAGGCATATAACCTGTCACCAGCAAGTTGTGGTGCTGGAAATGTTTTGTTACATTTCAAGAAGTAGTTAAGAGGCAACGTCCTACCTCAAGATTATGAAGTCTTATGTTTTGACACCTACTCTATTCATTTTAATCCATGGGGAATTTTTGTACATTGCTCAAATGGAATCCACATTTTCCCACAAATGAATAGGTGTTTATATTAAGAAAGTGAATGACTAACTATTAGGTAACAAGTGCTTTTACAAGTAGATGTCTTATTCTTTACTGTTAACAAAAAAATGAAGGAATTAATGGAGTTGCCAGCTCAGTAAGGGCAACTCATTAAAGATCATTATGTAATTTTTGCACATAACCTTGAAGTTCAAAGAACTCAGTGACACAGCTCTAATCTCACCCTTTCTAGTCCCATATCTTTATGCATGTGAACAAGATTGCTTTTGCTTCTATGAAAAATAAAAGCAACAGTCAGTGACTTTTTTTAGATATATCTGACTTCACTAGTAAAAAGAATAAAAACTTTAACAACTTCCAAACATACCACAATTTATGTTTATAAAAATGTAGTTTTCTTTACCTGATTAAATGAATCTACTTAAAAACAGCCAAATACCCTTCAGGATGAAACGTCAAACAAAGCTTACCTCTTTGCATTTCTTTTATAGAAGATAGGATCTTGATTGAACGATTGAAATAACATGAATTCTCATTGGTAGCAGTTTTCACACACCAGATTAGTTTAAATAGAATTAATCCAATAATACAAATGCCTTGATTCTACAGATTTGGAAGAAATTCTTAACATGGAAAGACTGGGGCATATAGTTCACTTGGATGCCCTATAAAAAATTTAATAATAAAAAGAGAAAAGAAAAGATCTGGTTTACCTATTTGTCCTTTAGTTGGCTGTTTCATTTGGTTTCACCTATGGATGATTTAGTAAAGATGTTACTAACTGGAGGCAACTTTTAGGTACCACACCCTTTATACCAGTGTTTCCCAAACATCCATGAGCATAGGAATCACTGGCTGCTTCTTAAAAACAGACTTCTGGTCCCACCAATTAAGTAGGTCTGCAGTGGGACCAGGACTATGCATTTTTCAAAAATGCCCCCGCCCCAAGGATTTCTTAACATTTTCTCTGTGTTCTTAATCATACATTTAAAGGAGTAAAGTGAAGGAGGGTTGGCATTTGTCCATTACAAAATAATTTCATTAAAGAAACCTTGGAAAATACAGACTAGAAGAAAAAAGGAATACGTAGGCATAGAAGATATACAGATGGCAAATAAGCATATTCCGTATCAATATCATCAGGGAAATGCAAACTAAAACGAGATGCCTCTACACACCTATGTGAATGGCCACCACCAAATGCTGATGATGTGGAACAGAAACTCTCCACTGCTGGTGGGAATGCAGAATGAAGGGTAAGGCCACGTTGGAAGACAGTTTGGCCATTTCTTACAAAACCAAATATACTCTTACATGATCCAGCAATCACACTCTCTGGTTGAAAACTTACGTCCACACATAAACCTGCACACAGATATTTATAGCAGCTTTATTAATAATTGCCCAAAATGGCAGACAATAATATTCCAGACAATGAAATATTTACAGCACAAAAAAGAAATGTGCTATCAAGCCATGAGAAGACATGGAGGAATCTTAAATGCATATGACTGAGAGAAACCTGTCTGAAAAGGCTACATAAAACTATCAGTGGTTGCCAGGGGCTCTCGGGAGGGGGTGAGAGGGATGAATAGGTGCAGCACAGGTGATTTCTAGGGCAATGAAACTACTCTGTATATTATAATGGTGGGTACCTGTTACTACTATACTTTGTCCATGCCCATAGAATGCATAACACTAAGCATGAACCCTAATGTCAACTATGGACTTTGGGTAATAGTGATGTCAAGGTAGGCTCATCAATTTTAAGATATGTACCACTCTGGTGGGGGATGTTGATATGGGGGAAGGTGGGCATGTGTGCAGGCAGGGGGATATGGGAAATTTCTACAACTTAATTTTGCTATGAACCTAAAACTGCTCTAAAAATTTTAAGTCTTAAAAATAAAAAACAAAATAAAAGAGAGCATTTGAGATCTTTCTTTCTTCCCAGCATGTCATCAGTTTGGCTCAAATAAACTCACAAAATTTCTCAAAAACAAAACAGAACACCTACATTTAAGAATTGCTTATATGTAAGAATCATGTTGTGCTGCAAAATCTTTTATTTGACTAGAGGATGGAATTAGAAAACCATAAAACCTAGAAAACTGTGACATAGAGAACAGATTATCTGATTATGTTTGTTTGCCTTATGAAAACAGCACTGAAATCTTCACCTTTAAATAAGTGAAGCAACTCTATCTGAACTCCTTCCCTAGAACCTAGTCTCCATGGAAAACGTTGCAATTAAGCTAAACCCCTACAACACATTTATATTCATTTTTAAAAGCCTGTAAGGACAGTGGAATTACAAATCGTTTTGTATTATTAGAGGCGTTTATGATTTAAGAAGTTAACATTACAGTTTAGTTTGTAACACTGAAAAGCAATAGCTGTCTGGACTCGACTTGCCGAGAACCATCCAAAGCTTTATTCCATCACTGTTTCTGCACCACGTGATCTTTGGAAGCACGTCTCGCTGGTCTTGTCGTACTACACAGAACCCATCACTTCCCACTAGAGGCGAATCCCTACTCAAATCCCCTGGAAGGCCATGCACCTGAGAAGTCATTTACTGCCTTAGCATCTATTTAACAATCACCCAAACTTCACAGTTTACGCTTCCAGGTTTCCTGTCCAGGTGCCAAATCTAAGTCTATGTAGGGTAAGGAGTAATCTGGAGGAAGATTGGAAGGCTGATGGAAGTATTTTCTTGCCTCCAGCGGGCAGGATTTAATCTGGTGCCTCTATAAAGGATGCCATGTTCATGTTTCTCACCAAACATATGCTAACCTCAGTGGTTTATAACCTTGGCCAACCACCACCTTTCTAAGCCCCACCAAGACAGACCAGCTCAGCACGATGGCCCAAGAAACCTGAGATTTTCCATAAATTCCACAGCTGATCTGCATGCAGTGAGCCCGTCACTGATTTGAAGGAAAGCTTTGGAAATGTTTGCACAAACTGCTGTTCTGGAGGCAGATAAGGAGAAGGTCACATCATAGGCATTCAAGGAAAACTAACAAGATATGGAATAGTTTACTCAGAAGCAAATGTTACACTTTAATAAAAAGCACTGTAATTTCTATCACATTAGCTAAAACACGGAAGAACAACTTTAAAAATAGATTCAAACTACTGGTTCTTACACCCATAAGCATCTATCAGAATCATTTGTGGAGGTTTGAAACATATTTAAGTCCAGGCCCCACTCTTGGAGAAGGCTGCAACAGGGGACAGGACCTGGGTATTTTTCAAAAGCTTTCCAGGCAGCTCTGATGTTTCCTTCTGGTCGAGTCACTGATTTTAGGTCGACTGGGGCACTTTGGGATTTTTGGGCCATTGTTTGGGGGTGTGGGGAGCTTTTCTTGCAGATTTATTAGCTGTAGTGAAGAACTTGGCCTCCGGCTTTTTGGGTGTCTGTTTTGGGTCTTTTTTCCCCAGTGGAGAGTTTCTTTGCTTCACCTCTTCTTTGACTCTTTGCTTCTTCCCTGGGCCTTTACCTGGGGTCTTCGGCTCTGCTGCTTTTGGGGTCTCCAAAGCTGAAAAGGCCTTTCTCTTCTTCCCACGGGGTGTGTTGGGACCCGGACTCTTTACTGGAGACTTCTTTCCTGTGGTATGTTTTTGTATCTAAGGAAAAGAAGAAAGTTAAGTCTGGGGAAAAAGGAAAACCAACTGACAGTGTAACTCCAAGAGTTACTGTTCTGACTATTTAGGTAACCACAAAAGGTACACCTCAGCGTGATGGGATGATGAAAGGCAGCTGCATTCCATTCTTCACGAGTATAGAGAGGATCCTGGTCCAATCAAGGACCATCTTTCCCAGTGGCCGCGTGTAGGGCCTTCTGTCCAATATAGAAGATTACGTAAACCCAAAAACCCAACCACCAACAAACCAACTTTCCGATAGATTATAGAAAATCTGAAAAACATCGAAAGTACAAAAAACAAAACTCGCTAATAACTACCACACAGCATAAACTACTTACCCTTCCCCCATGAATATATATGTGTTTAAAAGACTCAAGTTGGGGGTGAAAGAGTGCAGAAAGGAGATAAATGGTGATTTTGAGGGGGGGCAGAGAAAAAGATGACCGGGAAGGGCTTAATTTTGATTAAATTCCAGGGTTGATTCTTTTAAGAGCTCTTTCAGCTAAACAATCAAATCTAATCCATGCATAACTCTCCGCTCTTATCTTTCTAAGTCCATCCCTGGATATCTTGTCTGGGCCCCTAAAAGCAACATTTCAGAGGATACTTGGTCTTTGTCAACATCCCTCTTTCTCTCTCTGTACCTGGCTTCCTCCTCTGACCATTAACCTCCCTCTTGACCAGTTTTTTCCTATATCTCCATTTTCTCCCCTGCCTCACTCCCTCTTCTCAGTATCACAACCCAGTCTTCGCCATGTTTTGCTGAATCTGCTTCTTAAATGCATCACAATTTCATCCATTTCCTTGTCTCCACTCCCGGGTCTGATATTACCACTTACCTAGCCTGACTCTCCACTACCACTTTTCTCTTGGATTAATTCATAGTCTCCAGTGCAGCTGGAGTGATATTTCTGAGATACAATTCTTTCTCTTTGTAGCAGCTCCACATGCTTTAAGTCTTTAAGTGGCGTTTTTTTCCCTCCCCAGGAGGGAAAAATTCCTGGAACAATGCTGATAATAAATTTAGCTGATAGATCTGGCCTACCCTTATTTCCCCAACCAGCTCGTTGGCATTTCCAGCTTGTTCTTAATGCCATCTCTCCTCTCGCTTTCCCCCCTTGTCCTTCTGGGCTCTCCACCACTGACGCTGCAGTTCCTAGAATAAGCCCTGCTCTTGCTCTCTCCCAAGGCCTTCACTCAACACTCTCTAAATCCTTTCTTTTTCATCCTTTTAAAGGACCCGATGCCCTCATTCACTTCTGGAAAAACCTCTGACCCTTCTCTTCCACTAGTTTAGGTTGGGTGTCTACTCTATGTCCCAAACCCCTCAACTTCCCCTTTAATAAACAATCCTCTTTTGTGGAAAATAGTAATAATAATAAAAATGAAAGTTCTATGTATTATGCCCCCTTTCCAATTATTTCATTAGTATTTCCTAAGTACTATAAACTCTTACTAAAAATTATTTCAAATAACTTTACAAAAACTGCTGCAAGGATACATAGCCTTTTTTCATTTTTTGCTTCTACAGTGAGCAATGATGAAACTTCCATATATTATTACCTTGATCATATTTCCTAGATGGATTCAAAGGGCATAAACACTTCTACAGCTCTTGACAGTCAACACCCTATCAGCTATGCTTTCCACTCTTTAATTCTAACATATTACCTGCGAGCCCCATTATAAGCAAACAGTTTACTTTTTCTAAAAACAATTATACTGCATAACTAATATCATGACCATTTATGTTAACTTCAAGGGTATTTTAAAAATTCAGTAGTGCTTTGAGGGCACTTTAAAAGAATTGTTTTTTAAAAAAAGAGGTGTAAATTATAATACCACTGAGGAGTTTAAACGTCACTCTTAGGACGAAATTACAAAATAAGTAATGTGCTATAATAGACCCAGGATACACCCCAGTGCAGGCTTGTTTTCAAGGTTTTCCTGCAATGGTTGGATGGATACTTAGTACAAGTAAACTCATTATCAAAGGACCAAAAATAAGAAACTTAGTTCCTTTAAATCACCTGCCCTGAAATGCATGAAGTCAGATTCTGTTAAGAACCACTGGAGATGGGGTGTTTGGAAGACTTTAGAGGAAGGATCCAGGACCCACCTTCAAACACTGAACCACTACCCAAATGTCCACCCTGGCCTGCTTTTAAAAACCACAGGCAAAGTTCCTTAGGATTATTAATATGGTCAAGTCTCCCTTGATTCCAAGGAACACAAAGGACAGTGTTTACTATATGGGGCTCCAATATTTAAACAAAAGATCAGGTAATTCATGGTAACTATCTCCTGGGTTCTTAGGGTCTACCCCAGTACTTTTCGCTATCACTTCAAAATCTTTGGTAGAACAGGTTTCCCTTGAAATAGAATCCTGCAAACAGCGCCTCCCCCATCTGAGCTACACTTCTTACATTCACCACTCAGGAGTGCCTGCCTGACGCACAGAGGCCACTGAATCAATCCGCTGTGAATCTTAAACATTAGCAAACATACCTCTATGTTTTCTTTGGCAGAAGTTTCTCTTATTGGGACCAGTAAAGGAATTTCTTCTTCGGATTCATCTTGCACTTTAGTTTGGGTTTTTACTCTGAGGGTCTCTTTCTTCTTAGGCTTGGGGGTCTCTTTCTTCTGGGGTCCAGGGTCCTTCACTGGAGGACTAGTTTTAGGGGCCACCTCCTTTGTAGTTAGGGCTGAAGTAGCCTTTTTAGCCTTTTTCGTGAGCCTTCTGTTTCTTTTCTTCTTTTGTTTTTCAGTAGGTCCTTTTTGGTTTTGTATTTTCTTTGCTCCCTACCGAAAAACCAAACAAAATTTTAGTAGGGGATACTTTAGTTGGAAAATAGATGGCAAACTTGGCACTTGCAGTTCGGATTACGCATAAGCTCCCTGAAAGGGCCCTGACCTGTACAAGCTCTAGCAACCAAACCGCATCACCAGCACTTGAACCCTGCCTCCACTTTGTTTCTCAGTCATGGCTGCAAATGCATTTTATGTGGTAAATTATATATCGATACTTGAAATCCGGGTATTTGAGGTATGCAGTCACAGGTTTTGTCAAAATCAATCTCATTTATAAGTGAGTTAAGAATTATCTAGATTTCATAGTATGTGACATGAATTACATCTTAATAAAGTTGTTACCAAAAAACAGCAAAAAACAAAAACAAAAAACCCTGACCATTCTTCTCCTACTTCAAGTGTGGTTGAAAGTTGAAACAGTAAAAAATTTACATAGCTAAAGGTCCATAATCCTTACCACAGAGTACTGTTAAATAGCATCTAAGATATCGTCCAAATTCCATTTTAACCAGCAATTCCAACATCTTCACAAAGCCCCCAACTGCATTTGCTGACAAATGACAAAAAATCCAGACTTCCTGCTTCCTATAATAGTAGTCTATATTATTTTGGATTATTCTCCCAATAAAAACAGTAAAATGGCAAGGTAAAATATTTAAAATTTTTTTCTTTTTTCATAAAAGCACCGAGCAAGTGATTATGCTGTGAGAAATTAAAAATGAGGACCCAGAGTAAGTGAGCCCAGAATCCATTTTTGCCTGAAGTGTATCTCCTGATCACTAACTTTTAACAGCCATGTGGGAACTATGTGGGGGTGGTGTGTAAAGGGAAAGCAAACTCCAGCATCCACACTGGGAAGGGATTTTGAAAGGAAACCCCCCTTGCGATAAGCTGGGACCCCCATGAGTCCACCCTCAGAGCAAAGATGAGCAGGAAACAGAGAGTCCTGCAATTTTAGCACCATGGTTTGTTTTGGACCACCTGAAAACACATCCGAGGCTTTCAGGTGGTCCAAACTGAGAGTGCCCCAAGGTGCCTGGGAGATGTAAATGTCAACCCTCCAGAGAAAGGATCTTCTTTCTACACCTCAAATCATTTCTAATTTCTACAAATAATTTTCCAACTGCCAAGACCGTCACAGTCAGAGATAACCAAATACACAAGGAACCAGCAGGCAGAGACAACAACCTGCAACAGCAAGACTTCCACTATTTGAATTAGCAGATAACGAAATAAGTAATTATGCTTAACATGTTCCAAGAATTAGGATGAATTGGAAACCAATTTGAAAAAGAACAAAACATGGAACTTCTAGAAGTAAAAAAATAAAAAGAACAAGGTTAAAAATTCTTTGGACACGATTAACATGGTTGAAGAAATAATAAAAATAAACTAGGAGGTTGGTCCAACAAAAAACAAAAAATTAAATTTTCTCTCATTCTGGCTTCTTTTGCAATAATACCTGTTAGCACCAAAAACCTACAAACCAAAAACAAGAGATACTTGTTAGCCTAATAAAATCTTAAATTTTGCCCATAAATACCAAAGAATTTAAAATAGACTTTGGTTTTCCTCTTTCTTTTAACTCCTCTTGGCAATGAACAGGCCCTTTTAAGCCTAATTAGACGTTTTAAGAGAAATTAAAACACCTGACTTATCATAGATGTTAGACATTTATGTCCCACTGGACTTGATTCATACCAATATTAACTAATCTCAGGTAAAGAGGGAGCAATGAACACCAAAGCACAACCACGGGAAAATCATGGAAAGACAAGTCAGGCAGGAATGACAACTTAGTTCTCTCTTCTGGGCATCATTTACAACCTTGATTAAGTCTACCCAGCATTTAAAATTCTACTTACTTTTTTCTTCTGACCAGGAGTGCGTACTCCTTTGGCTTCATCCTGATAGCTGACAAATGAAGAAAAGATGGGAAGGGCAACTGATCTCTCAGTTTTGACATACAAGAGTTTCACACTCTCCCACTTCTGAAACAAACAAAAAAAGTAATATAATCTGCACATGCTTTGTGTCTTTTAAATGAGTGATCAATTGATGCATCTGCAAGACTATACCTCTGGCAATTTCTGTGAAAGCTTTTCCGTGACAGCAACAATGTTTTCGGTGATGTGCTGAACCTGCATTCCAGTGTGACCGATGCGAATAGTGCTGAAATTTAATAAAGTTTCAGACAAAAAAGATTTTTAAAAACACTTCTTCAAAATAAGGCATAGGCAGGTACGTGAGAAATACAAATACACAGTCCTAAGAAAGAAAACAGAGGGATCAGCCCACAGCTTTTCTGAGGACAATTACCTCCAGCAGTGACTGTTCTGAAAGGAAAGACTCCCAGGAGGGTTGCTTGCTTTGCTTTCTTTTCTTTTTTTTTTTCCTTAAACATATCTTTACTGATTTCAGAAAGAGGAAAGGAGGGGGAGAGAGATAGAAACATCAATGATGAGAGAGTCATTGATCGGCTGCCTAGCCTGCAACCCAGGCATGTGCCCTGACCGGGAATCGAACCCCGATCTCCTGGGTCCTAGGTCGATGCTCAACAGCTGAGCCACGCCCAGCCGGGAGCTTTGCTTTCTTTAGAGTTACACTGACCCGGCCAGCTGCCACCTCTGAACAAAGAGCTCTCTTCCCTCCTACAGTATTGGTCTTCTGGCCAAGAGCACAGCGCATACTTAAGCCAAATGGGAAGCCCAGAAGCACCGAGTGCTCAGCCACTGAGTCCACATTTCCCTGCCAGTCTCCATTCTCCCACCATGGAGCCAAAAGGCAGATGTCTCAGAAGCAGGGTGAGAGACAGGGGCTGGTTGCTCCCAATTCCCTCCAGCTGAAGAAGGTGGTCTGACCACCCTGTGTGCCCACTGCCACCTACCTACAAGCATACCCTTGGCTTCGCAGGTGGAAAAATAGGAAGAAAGGAGGAGGAGAGGGGAAAGAGGAAAGGGGGTGAACATAAGTAAGGGGAAGGTGGGGAAGGGAGAAGGAAGATAGAAAACTACTTTGTTAGGGCAAGGTGAGAAAGGAGGTAAAAGAATGGTTTAGGTTTTTGTATTGTTCTTATTAGTTGTCCACAATGTTTCTTAAGCTGTGGGTTTGGCTTGAAAAGCCTCAGGGGCAGGTGATTGCTACTCCTTTACCTGGCTGCATGGTGCTGACCCCTTCTCCCAATTATTTACCAATCCCATGAACCAGGCCTCTGACCTTGTTAACTGCTTCCCATGAGCCACTACTCTGATGTCAGCCTATAACTAAAGAGTAGGGGTCCAGGTCTGATGAACAACTCTTCTCAGTTACCTAATGATACCCAATTAAGGGACTTCCCACCTAAAGGCAGAAGGCAACATCAGAACCCACTTGTCTTGCCAGTCAGATTCCGTTTTGCCCTATCTGGAAACACTCTGCCCAGGGCTGGCCTCCCTGGTGTGTAGAGTCAATAAACCCTGGTGGTCCTATTTTATGGCATGTGCGACCACTGGGTACACATGGGCTCCTGGGTATCTTTGGAAGGATCATACTCTACAGCCCTGCCCTACTGGCAGCTCCCCGTCCCCACACCACAGGTGCCCAAACCAGCAAATTAGGTATTTTATGAAATGATCTTCAGTATGTTTAAACCAAGACTGAGGTGGATCTCCATATTAAAGGGTGATATGCTGCTGGTCAACATGAAAGCCCAGAACCACTGATGTTCTCTAAGCATTCATCTCATTCTCCTTGCTACCCTTAATCTAGAGGTGCCCTATCCAATACAGTAAGCATGGGCCACTAGCTACACAGGCCTATTACACAGGTATATATTTATGCCTTTAACCTACCTGCAAGAACCACTTTTAGAGATGTTTAAGGTAGTCCCACCTATCGATGAGTTGATCTCTTTGGAAAGATTCTTGGCTTTAAGGTTTACAGGTACTGGAACTCTGTAACGACACACAGATATTTAGAGCACAATGCATATACACCTATAAATTTTGTGCTGCTCAAGTAGAGTCATTGCTCAGACACTTACTTCTTTCTCTTATAGAAATGTTTCCCGAGGTGTGAGGGTAAGAGCCGCCTGATTCTTGCATCAGCAAGGAACAAGTCAAAACTACTAAGGAGGCGGAGCTTGGCCTCATAGGCTTTATACTCCTTTTTTAAAGTTCGGAGGGGGATAATCTAGAAAACAGAACACAAAAAGTTAAGAACATGGACAACAACAAGAAATACATGGGGGAAATTTTGTATTCAGATTTTAAAATGTTCTGGAGCCAGTTTAGTGGACACGTGAGTGCCTAAAATGTGCCAGGCACTATGCTAAATGCCACGAACATGGAGACAAATGAGATGGGACCTCAGCTAAAGAAATGACACCAACAACCATAAAACAGGGTGAGAAGTGCCAAGTCAGCACAAACACAGGATGCTCCAGAAGTACAGAGGAAATGACCTAATGGAGCAAATGGAGCAACTACTTGTAAAATCTTCAAGAAAGTTACTTTTGTATAAAGTGAGCTCTTGGGTCAACAAACCTTGACAGCTGAGCCATCAGAGGAAAGATGGGATATGCCCTACCTGAAGCCAAGGAGAATTAAATTCCTAGGAGAGAAATACTAGGTAATGAAGCAATGTGTTACTTATCACTTCAAGTGAATTAAATCTTTTGTTTTGAAAATATTAACCTGCTCCCTACCTGAGAAATGGTTTTAATTCCATGCTTGTTTAGAAGCTTCTTATAAAAATTTTCTGTCTTTTCAGGAGTTACATTGGGTTCATCCTTAGTAAATAAACAGATATCTGCTAAATCTGACCGAATACCGTGAGGCAAGGACCTGCAAAATACATGAGAAACCAAGGAATAAAGCATTATTATACACAGTGTCTATTTATACGCCACAGAATATACAGTAAGTTTACTGTCATTTCAATAAACTTCATGCATGCTATTTAAGCTAATACTATAGGGTGTCCCCCCAAAATGCATACACACGCTTTGAATAATTTTAAAGACAGTGTTTATTAAAATACATTTCATTTTCAAAATTAAACAATTGGCTGTTAAAGTGTGTATACATTTTTTTACACTCTGTAGATTGAGAACATTTTAAAAATACGTCTGACTTTTGCCCAGCCTGTGTGGCTCAGTGGTTGAGCATCGACCTATGCATCAAGAGGTCACTGGATTGATTCCCAGTCAGGGAATATGCCCAGGTTGCAGGCTTGATCCCTAGTAGGGGGTGTGCAGGAGGCAGCCAGTTGACGTTTTTCTTGAATCAATATTTCTGTCTCTCTCCCTTCCTCTCTCTCTAAAAATCAATAAAAACTTTTTTTTTAAATGTCTGACTTTCAATGATACTGAAGAGATTTAAGATGGAAGTAAGTCACCACAAATACCCATTCGCCAAAATATCAACTGATATTTGAGATACAAGAGTTCAAATGCAGGCACCCAAAATAGTGCATATGTAACTATTATTTTATATATTACTATATATGTACACGTCCTATAATGTGCTAGAATTGATTTGCAGCACAACAGTTCTGGTTCAGAACTGTACCTTGCAGAAACCTCTGGGCTCCATAAACAACAGAGCTCTTAAGACCTAAAACAAAAAATATGGAGCAGCCCTAGCCAGTTTGGCTCAGTGGTTAGAGCGTCGGCCTGTGGACTGAAGGGTCCCAGGTTTTATTCCAGCCAAGGGCGAGTACCTCAGTTGTAGGCTCTCTCTAGCGTGTGTGCCGGGGGCATCCAATCCATGTGTCTCTCTCACATCAATGTTTCTCTCTCTCTCTCCCTTCCACTCTCTCTGAAAAGCAATAGAAAAAATATCCTCAGGTGAGGATTAAAAAAAAGAAAATACAGAGCAAACCAAGAGGGATCAGCAAACATGCCATGATTATGTTGAGTCTTAAAAAGAAAAAAGTTTAACATACTTCCTAGGCCTAGATGTTCTAAGAAAACATTTCCTTAGTCTAAGAAGAGGTAGTACTACACAGTAGCATGACATATAACTAAGGCAATCTGGCTAAGGCAGGTTTGTAAACATTACTTAATAAAGGGTCTGAGGATCAAAAGGGTCTTTCCAATTTGTAATCATCCCTGCCCCCAAGAAAAGAAACCAACTACCATATATACTGCTTTCTTTAGCAGAGCTGGCTTTTTGTTACTCAGGAAATGAGGGACTCCACACAGAGGCAGTGTTGCCAGATAGAAGACAGGACACCCAGTTAAATTTTAATTACTTTTTAAGTAAAAGTAGATCCTAAATATTACATGGGACCTATTTATACTAAAAATTACTTGCACCCTGGACAGTGTGACTCAGCCGCTGGTTCGATTCCTGCTCAGGGCACATACCAGGGTTCAGGTTTGATCCCTGGATGGGGGTGCATGGGGGAGGCAACCAATTGGTGTTTTTCTCTCTCTCTTCCTTTCTCTGTAAAATCAATAAAAACATTTAAAAATAAAAAATTACTTGTGTTTTCATTTGTTAAGTCTAGCAACTGCAGAGGGGGCATCCCTGACCTAAAAGTCCTAGCAATAAGAATGTGTAATTGCCGTTGGTTTCTTTTCCATAAGGAGATCACTGCCAAGTTTTTAACAGTCTCTGTATAAAGAAGCAAGTCTGGGACCTCAAGGGTTTTAGCTTGGAACTAGCTTGACATGGAAAGATAAAAGATTCTATGAAAGTACAAAAGCTGTTTAATTTACTCTAACTTTTGTTCTCTCAAAAAATGGGTTTCCGATTCAATAGCACTGCTTAGGTTAATTGTCCATCAAGCCCCCAGAAAACTGGTGAAATTTCTAGAAAACGTAAGCTCATCTGAATAACTATATTTTTTAACGCACAATTATTTATATCAACTCAGATTTTTATTTTGAGTTTGCAAAGTTCCCATTAGAAACTAAGAGGCGACTGTTAAAGCTACACAGAATCAACAAATTAGATAAAAAACGGCAAAGGCAGAAAACCAAAACTTACAATCTGACCCTCAGTTCTTTACTTGGAATTTTCCATAATACCACCATTAAAAACAAATTTTCATTCTCATTCAGAAGCAATCCACTCGAGTTCTTCCTGGACTTGGAATGTGCCAACAGAGTGTCCACTGCCTTTCTGGTCTGCAAAGTGAAGATACACGAGTAAGTGAAATCTCAATCTAATTTAGCATCTGCCCTCTCCCCACACCCTTTCCCTTCTTTCCGATCTAATTCTATTTTAATGGGCAACCTCAGAAGCCACCTAAGCACTCGTCTTTACGAACATGCCCCTGTCCGCGAAGGTGAAGGCAGTAATCCCAGTAAACGCGCGACACCCACTGCAATCGCCATTTACTGAGCGCTTACTATATGCCAGGCCTCTGGCTACAGCGCTTTATGAGCATTACGTTCTCTGGTCCTGGAGAGCGGAGGGCGACAGAGCCCATTTGAAACACGAGGTAACCGAGGCCTGCAAAATTAAGCGACTTGGCCCCAGTCAAACGGTAGGGAAGCAGAGGCAGGCACACCTCACCCAAGAAGCCCAAGCTATACCTGCATTCCAATTCAAGAGAGCCGGGCCGCAGGGCTGGGGTAAGAGGCACCCACCCGTGCGCATAAAAAAAAAAGAGCAGGCTGAGAGCACCGCGAACCAGCGACCCTCTCAAAGCTCCGAGGGCATCCAAGGAGGCGCGGAGCCCGCTTCCAGCACTCCGCGTATCACAAGGCCACGGCCACCTCGCTTCCGAACCCCCCTTCCCAGCGGCCTCTCACCTGCTCTTTATCCAGCTGATCCAGCGCTGCCGGGGTCGCTGAATTCGAGGCTGAGGTTGCGGGTGGGGTTGAAGCGGAGCCCTCCATTTCTCTCCCACCTCGTGCAGACTCGCGTGCCGAACCCCACACCTAGCTCCCGGTGCGCACGCGCGAGCCCAGGCCTGTAGCCGGAAGTTGGGGAGCGTGGTGCGAGTCCTCGCGTCACTTCCGGGCGTCGCGCCGTAGAGGTTTGGCGGGCGCTAGCAAACTGAATGTCGCTCCGCCTGCAGTAGGAGTCTCTCCTCTGAGGTAACACCTCTCCTTCCCTTTTGCTCCGCGTTTCCGTGAGACTCGGGGAGCAGCCTGGCGACATTTTGGTCTCTCTCTTTCACAAAAGACATCAAGCAAGCGCCTGGAGGCGGGAGAAGATGCTTGTCCACGCAGCCAGTGGGGTCACCCGCTTTCCGTGGACCCCGCCATTGGGCAGGCCGCAAGGGGCGTGAGGAGAGCAGCGAGTTCTGGCCCCACCACACACCTGCCGGGTGACTTTGGAAGAACCACTTACGCCCAGCCAGTCTTCTCCAACGCGAAGGTGGCAGGAACCTCCCCACCGCTGGTGAGAATTCCGTGGAATCAGGCACGGGAAACACCAGACACGTCGTTAAGAGGTGTGGGGTCCCGAACGAGGAGCCAGAGCCAGTATGAGCTTCGGGTCTCACAGAGGTGGGAGGTAAGAGCGTATAAAGATAAGCGTGCAGGCTGGAATGCGGTGGAAAGTCTCCCGCCCCACATCCCCAAAGTGACCCCTGTTAACTCTTTCTCCTGGAACCTTCCAGGGATATTCTAGTCATATTTAGGAGATAGTTATAATTTTTTCTCTCTATGGCTGGTTTTAAATTTAATCTTTTTTTTTTTTTTTTTTTTTTTTAAAACAGATAGTAGCCAAGTATCCTCATTGTTCTGTGCGTTGACTTTTCCTCTTAATATATCTTGGAGCTTGGCCAAGTCAGCACTTAATGCTCTGCCTCATCTATTTTAACTCCGAGAGTGACCTTCCAGCATGTAGATAAACAATAGTTTATTTAGGAGCTTTTTGATGGATCTTGAGGATGGATCTAGTCTTTTTGGAACTAGCTGTGGAAATTTTTGAGGAAGAAGGACACTTTCCATGTTTGTTGTTTTCAAAAAAAAAAAAGCTCCTTCCATACCGCCAAAGCTAGAGGAATGGGTGTTCTACAGCTGATCTCTGATAATGACATTGTCTTTGATCAACATGTAGAAGAAATTTTCTTAAATCTTTGGTACCTACTCTCCCTTGTCTACTCTAGAATCTAGTAATAAGGTGAAACTGGTTTTAGCACAAAATTATGAATTGTTACATTAGGCTTATGTGTTTTCTAGTATGTGAAAAGAGCATTAGGGCTGTCAGATGTGTCACCTGCATTTCAAGTTTGAGAACCAGACTTCCAGGCCACAGGAATGATATGAATTCAGGTGAAAGAGCACGGTGGTGTTTGGAAGTAGTAAGTGGCTGGATCAGGAATGTGCAGAGGGGAGAAACGGGAGATGAGGCTAGAATGGTAGGGTAAAGAATTAATTACTCATCCAGTTGAGGGTTTATACTTTGGAGAAATCACAGATACAAGGTTTTTGAACAGGTGCTAGGGAAGACGAGGAGGTGGTGATGAACTATGCTTTAGGAAGGTGAATAACCTGGATGTGGTATTGTGGTGGTTTAAAAAATGGCATATGCCCACAAATTCTTTGATGCTAAAGTGATGGACCTTCATTCCCCTCCACCTGAATGTGGCTGGACTTAGTGATTTGCTTCTTTCAAATAGAATATAGCAGCAGTTATAGGATGTCACTTCTGAGATTGTCATAAAAAGATTATAGTCCCGTCGTGTCCGTCCATCCTCCCCCCCCCCCC